GGACCCACTGGGGGTGTCAGTGGGGCTCCCAAGTCGGGCCCCTCAGACCCCGCCCCCGCAGGCCCCGCCCCCGGGAGGCCCCGCCCCTCACACCGGGCGCCTCAGACCCGCCCCTGCGGTGGGCGTGGCCCGGCGCGCGGTGGCGGCGCGGTTGTCACGTGTGGCGCGGCCCCGGACGCGGAAGTGCCGCTCGGTGCCCGCGGGAGCGGCGGGACGAGGAGCGGCAGGTCAGGGCCCCGCGCTCGGGCGTTCCGCGGGCGGGGGGGGCTGCGTTCTGCGGCGACACGGCTGGTCCCGCCCGCGCAGCCCCGGGCCTGCCTCGACCCGCGGCGGCCGTGACAGGCACGGGTCGCTGAGGCGTCCGAGCTCCCTCCGCGCCCGGACCGCGCCGTTCCCCCGSTGTCCTTCCCCCGGGACTCTGCCGCGGGCCGCCGCGCTGCTCGCTCTGCACTGCTGCCCTGTGCGGGTAAGGACTCAGGCGGGGCCCCTGTGCCAGAGCCCCCCTAGCCGCTGCTCTGGGCAGGAGCTCGGGTGTCCCGCTGAGCCTCGCTCGTTTATCAGCGAGCAGCCGAATGGACGCAGCGGTTCAGAGCTGGTTAATGACTGTAGGCACGGGAGCTGACTCCAACTGCTCGGGTTTGTTTGCTCTCCACTCCGGCCCTGCTCCTTGTGGCGTCTCCGGTGCGTGTTTGCCGTCTCGCAACACCGAGCGGCGCTTCTTTCCAGACCCGCATCAATTCCAAGTTACAGAGTTTATTTTAACAAATTTTGGATGTACGGGATTTTTTCCCAGTACGTCTTTGTAGCTTCGTAATTGRCTTTCTGCCAGGCACGTCTACAAGCTGAACCCTTTAATCTATYTGAAAGGCACACTTTTAGGTTCCTTTCTCCCTGTGCCTGTACCTGTAGCTGTCCCGCACTCCCCTCTGCTGGCGCAGCTCTGCCGCGCTGTGGTGAAATCCACCGGAACAACGTGCTGTGTTTACGCGCAGGACATACAGAATAACTTTGTATTGACAAGAAATCTGTGTGTGCTTTTCATTTCCATGTTAGATATGCAAGATGCTTTCAACCGTCTTGGCTCGAAGCGGCTGAGAAGAACTGGAGCTCAAGATGAGAACCAACAAGGTGTACAAGCTGGTCATACATAAGAAGGGCTTTGGAGGCAGTGGTCAGTATCGCCTGGTTCATAACAGTGTGACCAACACTCACTTAATTGACAACACTTGTTTTATTGATCTTTTTTACAAAAGAGTGAAAGTGGAACTTTGATTTAACAAGCAGTATTGCCAGCCAGAGTTTGGAAAGCATTTTATAATAGYAGGATACAGCARAATAARGGRACATTTATTGGAAGAGAGCAAGACTGCATCTAAAAATAAAATTGCTTTATTTTACTTCCTCCCCTTTTGTTGCAACACTTTTCTCTTAACTTTGTATTTCTGTCACCCTAGTGACATACATGTCAGTGCCTTATTACTGCACATAGATGTGTTTCTGTGCACTAACAGTGCGACTGATTTGTTTGCTCCCTACTTCTAGACTTACAGCATGTTGATAAATCTTGGTGAGATTCCCTGTCTGCTTTCCTGCTGGTTACTATATGAAAAATACAGAAGATAGTCCTGGTTGCCTAAATAAGGCACAGTCTTTTGCTGAACACTTCTTTTGTTCTGTTACTTGAATTGTTTTTGCCTGCAAGAGTGTCCAGGCTGAAGTGGCTGGGTAGGGACCCTGTCATGTGGTGAATGAAAAGCATTTTGCTGATGTGTTTATCTTGGTTTGGTGTATTTATGCAYAGTGAGCTATTGTATGCAAACAAGCAGGTGTCTGTGTTTAATACATCTGTTCACTGCCCTTATTCATTTATGTCTTGTAGATGATGAACTGGTGGTGAATCCTAAAGTATTTCTTCAAATCAAGCTGGGAGATGTTGTGGAAATTGCACATCCCAATGATGAATACAGGTGAATTCTCCTTGCTGATATCTGTCAGGTGTGGTTGGAGCACTGAAAGGGTCTGTTCATATGTAATGGCTGAGAGGTTCTTAGAACTGATGCAACCTTGCTTCAGGATGCTGCCATGATTTTTTTTCTCCCTAAAGAGAAGTAAAGGGGTTAACTTCAGCAAGATCTCTTCCTTAAAATTCATGGAAATCTCTGTGTTTGGAGTTAGTTTGATCTTCCATAGGCCAAGTAGCCTGTCAGTATAGAATCTACAGTGTCTGTATCCTCTTCTTAGATCTCTTGTTATCTGAGGATTATTCTTCCATCCTACAGTATATCATAGGCAAAATTAAAATTCTATGGCTTTCTTGTATGAACCTGCTCATCCTGCAGCCCTTTTTTGAAAAGCAGCAGTACACGTATGTGAGGCTCAGAGAAATCCTTGTGTGACTTAATTTCCCATTAGCACTATCATCTTTACTTCAAGAGTACCTTGCAATTATAAAGAGTGTAAGGAGCAAGGCAGGGTGACAGGTGGAGAGGATGGTGTATGAAGCCTTCTAGAAAATATTAATGTTTCTCTTTAGCTTATTCTGTCCTTATTAGTAAATAGTTTGGTGTGTGTGATTTACCAGAGGGACTGTTGATATCTCAACTTGTCTACTCATTTCTTTTTTTTCTCTTTTCTATGTTAGTCCCCTGCTTCTACAAGTGAAGTCACTTAAGGAAGATTTACAGAAAGGTAAAACTCTAGACTTAAGTACAGTAAAATCGTAGGAAAGATTACATGACTGGGCTGTACCTGTGACTGGCTAATGTGTGTATTTTAATTTAATAAGAAAATAAATGATTTATCTGTTTAGCAAGGGCAGGATTATAATTTTAACAGAAAAAGAACAGGCAATTCTAAATCTGCTTTTGTTTGAGTGAGGTGTGATTTAAACAAACTTGTCTTTTTAGCCTGAAATGGGTGTTTCATGACAATCTTGCTGTGTTGATTTTGTACCTGTAAACCACTTGAAACCTTTTGGAGACGTTCATTTCTCTGCTGTCCTTTCTCATTTTTGYGGCAGAAACGATTAGTGTGGATCAGACAGTTGCCCAAGTGTTCCGCCTGCGCCCGTACCAGGATGTGCATGTCAATGTTGTTGACCCAAAGGTGTGTGGTTTGGCCACTATTTTCTATCTGTTCCATCACTTGACTCAAATCAGAGCCCTGTGAGTTTCCATCACCAGTACTATTGGGGGAAAAGGTGTTTATTTTTTATTGAAAGATATTTAGTCTTCTTCCCTAAGAAAATRAGCCTTAGACATTTGAATTATTTGTTGGTTTGTTATGTGTCTCTTYTTTCCCTACCATGCCTACTGTCTTTTTGAACTCCTTGATCCAGCTTCAACAAAGCTTTGTAGAAATGTAGACATTTCACATACCTTTAAATATCAGAAATTCAGGCAGAGTAAAGAGTGGCCTAGTCAAAAGAAGAGCCATGGCCTGGATTTTTGTTATTTGATACCACAGAGGCATTTCCTGTTAATGTCCCAACTATTACAAGAGCTGCAGTCAGAAATTACATTTTGCACAAGACAAAAATCTTCAGGAAATAAGTCTTCCTTAATGTCTTGAACAATGGCAGTATTTTGTTTTATTTGAGCTTCCAGTTTGCACTGAGACTCATAGTACAGATTTAGTCCTTGGGCTTCTTCTGGTCACGTTGTGCAGTTTTTTGCAGCTCACAGTAATTAAGGTATTCGCACAATTTTGATATTTATTTGTCTGGGCTTCCCTTTTATCTTGCAATTTTAGGGACATTGACTTGCTTTTGAATGGCCCTTCCTGTAACATTTGGTTATTAGATGAACAGATTGGTGGGCCCTACTTAAAAGCAAGCAATAAAATCTAAGCAGTGCTTTCCATCCATTTSACAGGAGGTGACCTTGGACTTGGTGGAGCTGACATTTAAAGATCAGTATATTGGGCGTGGGGATATGTGGAGACTGAAGAAGAGTTTGGTAAGGCCCCTGCTGTGCAGGGTGCAGGTCTGGTTCCTTTTATTTTGCTTGCTGTGAAAGAGAACAAGTGCTTTACAAAATGCAGAAAACCAAAGACAAAGACAGTGTCAGCAGCTCCTGAGTATCTTGTGCTTGAGTGGCATGTCAGAGTTGGAGAAAGGGATGTAAATAAATCCCATCATTTCCTACTCCACTGCTATGATGTTGATTACTGCCTTGGGCATTGAAAATACTGTTGAGTTTTTTTGCTYATGTTCAGAATTTTAATGATTTACTGCATTTGGAAGGAATTGAATCCAAATGTTTTTCAAGTAGGAGTATGCTGAAGTGTCCCCTCCCTGAGAGTGCCACTTAATAAGCAGCTATTAGAATATTTTCTGCCTGCATCTTTGAAGTGCAGTCTTTGGCTCCTCTGAGTGCAGTGAATTAGGCAAATKATCCCAATTAAAGTTTATGTGTGTTAAAAGTGATTTTCTGTTGTCTRTYGYAGAGGTTCTGTAGGCGAAGCTATTRGTAGAAACTACACTGGATGGACTTAGTGGCTTCTGCCATAAAAATCATGTGTTTGAGTGCAAGTGGGTTTTTTGTACATTGTTCTGCTCACTCTGAGCCTGCTCTTTTCCTAACACATGTAATCCTCTTTCCTAGGTCAG